AGGAAAAAAGGAGATTTCTAGCAACTATAGATCTAAAGGATGCGTACTTTACCATCCCAATAGCTCAGAGCGATCGAAAATTCCTTCGTTTTTCGTGGAGAGGAGTTCTTTGGGAATTTCAGTGTCTTCCCTTCGGTCTGACGTCGGCGCCGAGGGTATTTACCAAGGTTTTGCGGCCGATTGTGGCCATTCTAAGGAGACAAGGATTGTTAATAGTAATTTTCCTAGACGACTTACTGATCATTGCAAGGTCGAGGGAACAGTGCTTAGAGCACATTGCTATAGCCAGAGAGCTTCTAGAGCAACTCGGTTTTGTTCTCAACCTGGGAAAGTCGCAGTTGATACCGTCTCAGGTAGCGACCTTCCTAGGCCTTGTTCTCGATTCTCGTACTTTGACAATTTACCTACCAGAAGACAAGTTAGACAAGGTAGTGAGTTCTTGCCAATCACTTCTGAAACAGGAGGTGATAGGAACCAGGCAGCTAGCCAGCGTGGTGGGGCTGTTAGAGTCCACCAAGCAAGCCATTCTTCCCGGGCCCTTACATTTCCGGGCTCTGCAACAACTTCTCAATTTCGGCATAAAGAAGCCGGGAAAATTCGACTCTTCAGTCAGTCTAACCCCAGATGCAGTAAAAGATCTACAGTGGTGGATCAGTCATGTGCGCGAAGTAAACGGTCGCCGAGTCTTTGTTCCGTCAGACCTGACAATTTGCACAGATGCCTCAATGGAGGGATGGGGCGCGCATTGCAATGGTCAGGAGACAGGCGGGCGCTGGTCACAGACAGAAGCGCGCATGCAGACCAACTGACTAGAATTGAAAGCGGCCTCCCTGTCGCTAAGAAGCTTTGTGAGCGCGGATACTCAGCATGTTCTGCTAAGGCTGGACAACACAACAGCCGTTGCATATGTGAATCACATGGGGGGAACAAGGTCGCCAGATCTGGCAGCCTTGGCCCTGGAGATGTGGTCGTGGGCCTTGGAAAGAGGCCTGATGTTGTCTGCAACTCACGTTCCCGGATTGACAAACACCCTAGCGGACAGGTGTTCGCAGGTTTTTCTGGACAAGGTAGAGTGGCAACTGAACCGCTCAGTTTTTCCTGTCATTGAACAATTGGACAGGCAATGCATTGACAGTAGATCTGTTTGCGTCTCGTATGAACGCTCAGCTGAAGGAGTATGTCTCTTGGCACCCAGAACCAGGGGCCATGTCGGTGGATGGCCTAAACATTCACTGAGGCAACCTGGGGCTAGCGCATGCCTTTCCCCGCTTCAGCCTAGTGTTCAAGGTACTGAGGAAAGTCCAGTCAGACGTAGCAATAGTGATTTTGATACCTCCAGTTTGGAAGTCTCAGGCTTGGTACCCCAAGGTGTTGAACATGTTGTTCGAGAGTCCGGTTCTCCTGCCACAGAGCTGGGATCTGCTGTTCCTGCCGCACAACAGGAGACCCCATCCGCTGTTGCCAGATCTGATGCTTGCCGCGTGGCCAAGATCAGGCGACAGTTGCAGGGTCGGGGCCTTTCGGCAGGGGCTTCAGACCTCATCCTCTCGGCTTGGAGAGAAAGCACTTCTAGACAGTATCAGTCAGCATGGGCTCAGTGGGCCAGCTGGTGTGATAGAAGGGAGATTGATCCAGTT